CACACACACACACACACACACACACACACACACACACACACACACACACACACACCATCACTCCTTTGCTCATTTCATTAACATCAGAAGACTGTGTGTCAAATATGTTTTTATGCTCYACTACCATTTWTAAGGAGCRTTTCTGACTCACATTCCATTAAATTCTTAATTTTCCTGCATCTGGACATCAGTTTTAACTGTGCAGAGAGGATAATCACACGTTCTTTCTGAAGAATGATGGATTCTGAACAGTTTGGAAATTACCTTTAACCATTCTCAGATTAACAAGCAGCAACAGTTGCATCTCTAAAGTCACTGCTGATGTTTTTCTGCCTAGCTGAGAATTTTAACGACTTTAAGACTTGGTCTGAGCAGATTATAATGTTAAATGTCTTAATATTCCACATTTACAATAACTGAGCAGCACTTTGAGTCAGAGGCTGTTTCAGCTGCAGACATGAACAGAAACTCTCCTCTGTATGACAGGAGCTCTAACACCATCTGCGTTCCTTTCATCAACTACAGCAGCCTGCAGAGTATGGGTACACAGAAYCTATAAATCTTTAATATTGTGCTGATTCTGGATAAAAGTCTCCAAATAAGAACTAAAATTAAACARCATAATTACGGCTAATGAGATAGGCATCTAGCTTACTTCACATTTCCTCTGATAGATTCAAGCGCTGACACCAACTCTGTTATCTGAACACATACAAGCCGCAGAAAAGCCAYGTTTAGACATTTTTAATCAAAACTAACACTTATCACACCAACTGACACTTWAATACTGATGATGATTAAAATGCAGCAATGTTTCGATGAATGCTTTTATTGCTGTTATGACTCAGTACCAGTCAACATAAACTGGGCCTCTTTACAAAAACTATATTAAAATTATTTCTTCAATGTCAAATTTCATCAAAATAATATCAAATACATAAAATATGTAGTGTAAAAGAAGTGAGTGAATAAATATTCATTCCCAGGGATGGACATAAAAGGAACATTCTCAGTGTTTTTTTTACATGCTGTGTGTAGTTTGTTGTGTGGTTTTTAACTAGTAGTTGTTTAAACAGAACTCAAAATGGATGAAAATATTTTATTCACAGTTTTTTTTTAACTTATTTGCAGTTATGTGGCAGGACATGTCACTACCCGCAGTCATCAGTAGATTTATCATATCCTTGCAGCTCAAACAGAATTGCACTGTCTGCCTCGTGTTAGCGTTTAGCTAACACAAGCTTATCTAAGGCAGAAACGCAGTRCAGCATGGATCCTGTTTCTGTTCAAATAATCTATACAACTAYAAGTTAAAAACAAGTTACCAATCCAGCAGCTTGGAGCAAAAAAAAACACAACTAAAAACAGAAGAGTTCTTCAATGAGACATTTTCTATCTATAGCTACACTTTTCCTGCCCACAGTTACAGTTTATTTACTTTATTATATGGTTTCTGAATGTACTGGTCGAGGACGGGTTAAAGGAAAAGGAGTGAATATATTTGCACGCATCACTTCTAGGTTTTATATTGTTTAGAATTTTATAAAAGAAGTTTTTCCTTCCATTTAACTTCATTAATCTTTGTTTAATTATTACTTAACATCAGATAAAATTCCAGGCTTTAGAGCTATAAAACAGAATAAATATTATGTGGGTTGAATATTTTTGCAGCTTAATGAAGGTGTGTTTCTGTGTATGCATTGTTTGGTTGGATAAAAGCTGTCTGTGTACCTGTCAGTCTGTTTAATTTTACAAAGTTAAAACTAGGGTTAGGCGATATGTTGATATCGATAATTATTGATATGATTTTGTTGTACCTATGTGAAATAAGGAGCAGTAGAAAAAAAAGGCTGAATAATTCTGCCAAACTGGTTGACGTGATCTTTGCTCTTTTTTTAATGCAATTTCCTCTGGAGCTGTTGCACTCAGTTTCTCCTTCACTCCACGATGTTCTTTATTTATTAGCCATTATAAGGCACGGCGGCGAAACATCAAACTGCTACTGAACAGGTTGTTGCTAGCTTACCAAATAGTGAATGAGTTGGTTAATGACACCAACCTTACTAAAGGCCCTGTCGCACATAACGTTTTAGACAACTTATGAAAAGTTAAGATGTTTAAGCTGAAGATGGAATAAAAAAAATATGGGAAGCCTCTTTTGGACATATACAGCGGGTAAAATAAGTATTGAACACGTCACCATTTTTCTCAGTAAATATATTACTAGAGGTGCTAATGACATGAAATGTTCACCAGATGTCGGTAACAACCCAAGTGATCCATACATACAAAGAAATCAAACCATAAATGTCCAGAAATGAAGTTACCAGCTGAACTCTCTCAGTAATTAGAAAGCAAGCCTGCCCCTTGTCAGTGCAGATTAATGTCAGCTGGTTAAGTCCCAAAT